ATTTCGAAATGTACCTAAAGAGTTCGTCACTCACGAAAAACCAATTATTTTAAATCTCGATATTTAAAGAGTCTTATAAAAGTAGTTCTAGGACGGAGTGTTTTTTGTGACTTCATCCAGTTATCTGGAGTTCTGACATTATTTCATTTTATGTGATTCTCTTAGGAAAAAATAATTTGGAACTTCCAAACTATAAGATCTTGTTGAAATCGATGTATCAGTAATTACGATTTTGATATTTCAAATAGTAAAGTACATCTTTCAAAATTACAGGTTGAATGGAAGCCTCATTTTTTATTTGTTGACTGTTAGGCATAGATTTATAGTATTTGTTTGTTTCTATAAGAAATACGTTTTAATTAGAAACTGAAAAAAAACCTAAAGTTCACATAATTAACCATTTGTAAAACACGAAAATCAAAATATAATCCTTTTAAATTTTAATCACAAGATCAGTGAACTGATTCAAGCAAGCGGAAATTTTCCATTTGACTGATGATGCTGCTTTTACGATATGTTGATGCGTAAACGATTAGATTAATTGTTTCAAATTAATCTGATTACAATAGTCGAAATGATCTTTTGATATTTAAGTTATTGTATTCAGCTAATACTATGAATATTAATTAAATAGCTGAAAGTGAATTTCCTCTGTTGATGTATTGTAGGTGGATGATATATTCATAGCTTCTCTAATTTTTTAATATTTACTGTGTACAATGAAAAGTTAGTGCTTAGTTCAACTATTTTTTTGAGTATCAACTTTCGCACGTAAAAGTTAGTTTTTACATCACATGAAGGGAAAGAAAAACTCCATTTCGATAATTAGATCCTAATTTTACAGGCTCGTTAGTGACCTACAAACCGATACAATACAATCGTTTGTGTACACAGTCTTAAACATTCAAGTTTAGATTTCTATCAAATACTTTTTTTAGCATTTTTTTATTTATTTCATAATATGAAACAACCCTTTCTAATCACTTGTCTTGTCTGTGAACATCCATTCTGAAAGATCACTGTCAGTCATTTGATTTGCCCGAATAACCGCAATATAGTTACGTTATTCATTTAAGCTAAAGCGACCGATGCCAACATACAAACAAACACAAAAATTACGGTCCGTTTTAACAAACTTAATAGATTTCAATGCATTGCTCTACGTTTCATTCATTAAAATAAAGATCCAAATGAACAGTGCACTTGATTGTTCAACCAGTCTACATTAAAACGAAATGGCAGTGACTTTATATTGAAAGATATTTGTATTTTGAATTTAAATTCATAAATGAAGTTCCATGTTCGATTAATTGGTTCTTTTGATTAGTTTTACTTCACAAAAACATTTAATGCAACATAGTTCACCAGGGAAATTAAATTAAATTTAATTTAAAATTAAATTTAAAAAAGAGACATTACTACATGACTGGTATTCAGAATACAGGTTGGTTAGTTTACGTTAACATATAAACATCCTGAACAGGTGCTTTGATATTGTTCATAAATATAAGCTTCCAATGTATATTTAATTATGCCCAACAGAACGATTTTTTGACATTTATCTCCCCCTGTTTAGAATTTATTAGCTAGATGGAACTGCATTTCAGTATTGGCGTTCACAATGAACATCGAAATCAGCAGTAGCACTATTGCTAAAACTCAGTATATTGTGATGTATATTATTATTTATAAGCCATTCATATCTTCAGATAGGATATGTTAGATAACCACATTTCAAACAGTAATGATGAAGCAGATATTTACTCCCCCCCTTTTGCGAATAAGTCATATTATTCAAAATTTAAATGAACCATGTAGTGTGTCAATTTCATAGATATAAATAAAATTTTATTTCAGAAGTAAATCAAGATAAAAGTTGAGAAATAATGTCTTTATAATACTTATTTATGAGAACATCGTATTTATTGGGATGATATGACTCAGAATAGATATTGATCAGACAGTACGAACGTTTCCGCAGTTTTAGTATACCTGGATCCATAATTACTTCTAAGGTTTTTGAGTATTGTCGATAGACTAATTTTGCTGAGGATTACATAAGTCTTCTTATTCACAATGGATGTGTAGCCTTTCTTTATTGCCACTAGTTTATGAGTAGTCGTAAATAAAACGTTTTAGTTTCTAATAAAACAAAAATCAAATCTCCTCAAAAAAAAGTTACAAAATCACATCATCCACTAATTAGCAATTTAGCTTCGATCAGATAAATACTAAGAAGTGATACATTTTCTTTCATGATAAACAAATAGGAAAAGTGTTAACAAACGGTAGATAAAATGAACTTTGTTTTTTTTTATCCGTTTAGTCTAGTAAAATGTTTTCTATTACTATTAGAATTAGACTTACTAAATTATTAAATTTCAATAAGATTACTTCAAAAAATAATTCTCAAAAAAGAACATGCATTTAACACTTTTGGAAGAGATTAGACCCAATAATGTTTTATCAAGAAATCATCTCATGTTTTAACATTAAGTCGATTTTTCTAGTCCAATTTTTAAGTCGGTGAGTAAAACCAATTACCATATTGAAAGCTTCTTAATATTTCATAATGACGTCAACTGTATTTATTACGTTTTGTTCTCCTTGGTACACTAGGAAAACATTTCGTAAATCAAATCCTACCCAGCCTCCTTAAGATTCGTAAAAATAAATATTAACTATTATCGAGTGACAGTATATGGACATAATGTTTAAATCCATTGACAATTAGTAGTTTTGTGCCATCTTATGTAAAGTTTAATCAACATACAATTTGTGAGTCAGAATTTTCGAAGAAAAATAATGCATAGTTTTACCGAATAGATAAGCCATTTTGATTTGAATATTGATCACATTTTATGATTAATGGATAAACTAAGTTTACCTTAACATATCCACTCATCACCTTCTCACCTGAATGTCAGACAATAAAACTATCATAACTAAAATTTCGCACTTTTTCTTTACATAATCTCACATATAATTAGCTTTATAACCATGTGAATATACTGTTTGGTAGCCCACTATTTGGCTCCAATACTTATGTCTTGATCGAGTATGCTATGAAATAAATCTCCCTATCACCTTCCATAGGTGAACCCCGTTTGCGCGACCGCGGTAATAAGAAGCCAAATACGGGTTCGGTTGTACAAGTTTATTTCAGGCAATCGTTCATGTACACATGATAACGAAAAGCATACAAGCAAACCAAAGCGAAGTGCAGAAGGCGAGACAGCCAACTCGACTCAGTGAAGCACGGCTAAGAATTTATGGTCAGACAAAGATAAGCCAGACACGTAATAAGCGATATGGGGGTTCACACACAAATAAAAGCAAATCAGATATCAGCGAATGACTGGCAAGGTCAAAAGACAAGTAGGACGAGTTGGGAGCTGGACATGAAAGCACTCACTAAAAATGAAATAAGGGGAATGAAGTAGTCATATTTTCGATGCAATGATATTCTTGTAAACAACAACTTTACTAGACAGTTTCATAATTTCCATCATAGTGAGGTCAGTTTTCAAGAACATTGATCGGAATTAGTCACTAACACTGTTGGGTGAACTCTTATAGATCCAGAGGTTAAGCGTTCGCGCACAAGACCGAAGGTCCTGAGTCCGAATCCTGTGAGTAGCAGGAATTGTAGATGCGCACTGTTGATGAGTCTCGTACCATGACGAAACGGCCGTTCAGTGCTTCCAGGTTTCTAATGATTCATTCATGATTTCATTGTGTAAGAATTAAATTTGATTTTTATATAGCATCTTATCCATAGATTACATGGTGGTTTCTTTCCACCTTCCTACGATTCGGTTTAAAGTATTTAAGCGGCCGATTTTAAGCCCCAGGAATTTTCTGTATATAGAAACTATATATTTATTACTCACTTACGCCGATAGAGCATAGGACGCAGACTAGCATTATCCAGTCTACACTGTCCTGGGCCTCCCATTCCAGTTCTGTCCAATTTTCGTTCATTCTTTTCATATCTGTCTCCATTTCTCGGCGTAATGTGTTCCTTCACCTTCCTCTTTTCCTTCGACCTTGAGGGTTTCCTGTGAGGGTTTGTCTTGTGACTCACTTGGGTGCTTTCTGCAATGTGTCCTACCCATGTATATATGATTATATTTATCAATACACTTGCTAAATATCTTTATTAAAGCTGTTTGAATGGCAGTTCAATTGATAAAAGATTATTACCGCAGTTTCCTGTAGTTTGATTGGGTTTAGGTCCTATTGAATAAGTTTACCCATGTTTATAAGCACCTTGAGCAGTAATTATTATTGTCTTATTTTTCTGCGTCAACATAAACCCTATATAAATTATTTACATTTGTAAAAGTGGAACTTCGTCTATCGAATGTAGCCTCATATTACTGCAGGCTCTTTCAGGTTGACCATGTTCATTTAAACATTTCAACGACTAACTTTCCGGTTAACTTAGCTAACTTTTCGCCACGTACTGAATTGTTGTAAGAAAGTCAAGAAAATTTAATAGGAGAATTTATATTCTCATATAAGTAGAAAACAAACAGTGATGTCTAGAGACCTCTTGTGTGTCACATCATCTGTTGATAAGCATAATAATTACTTTGTTAGCTAAAAGTTTAAAGGCGATATATCTAACATTCTAACAGCAACATGCCTTATGATTATTACTGACTGGTGACAATTGTAAGCTAACTGTTGAATTAAACAGTGTATCAAAATGCATGTATTGATTTTCCACAGCCTTTGTTTATTAAGTTGTTTTTTTCACTATGATTTGACGAAATCAAATTACATCTGTACTACTATGAATTGCTTCAAACTATTATTTTTTTTCCTCAAGAAAAGTGTTAGATTTACTTAGTATCAAAGAGTAAGGATTTGTTTTGTACATTGATTAACAGATAATTGTTGTTGCGTTGTTTCTTTATTTATCACTTGTATGATGATGATCATTATCATCAATTGTCACAAATCGTTTAACACAATTTTTTTTCATCTTTTAGGGTCATTCATTAGGGGAAGAATTATTTGCAACTGTTGTCGATCGATTTAGACTACTTGAAGCTGATTATTTTGACCTGGAATATGTAAATGATGAAGGAATGAGAGTAAGTGTTTAGTATTTTATTTTTTAGCCTGACTATTTTTATTCATCATATTCCATATAAATATATCATATTCTGAAAAAAATATTAATTACAGAATTCATGCCAATTTACAAGCATGATTAGCTTGATATAAATGTACAGGTTAGATGCCACTTTATATTAACTGAAGTGTTCTAGTTCAAAAATTTCTTGAGAAACGCATTTTTCGCATGTTTGACTATAATATAAGTCGTCAGTAAGGAGCTATTAATTTTTTTCAACCGGACATCTTGTTGCTGTATTAACAGTGTTCCCATTCCCATTTGAGATTGGTCATAGTTATCTACAACTAGAGAAAATAAAATAGGAACAGAGAGCATGAAAGTAAGAAAGTAATAATTATAACGATAAGTTAGTCAGATCTACCATGATTCAAGTGCAAGTTTATTTAATGATTTAATATTTGGGTTTGATATTATTCAAATCAGCTAGATGTCCACGGGATAGTGTTATTGTGGAGTATCTGCTAGGAGGTTAATTAGTACTCTTGGTAATAAAAGGATTGACATCTAGGGTTCCTATAATCTCACTTGTAGAGTGGGATAATACTTACAGGTTTAAGCACGATTAAGTTATTTTTTAGGAGTAGTAGGCACTGATGCGACGATCAAGGTATAGATTACGGTAAGCTATCCCACAGTCTCAAAAATCTACCGGCAAAATAGTTCATATATAGAAAAAATTTAGAATGAGATTGTATTATTAATGCCAAAAGTTACAGAAGCCATAACTAGGAGTTTCTGCATACCGAGTCACTTCATTAGATATAAAAGATAGCTTATTAAGTATTCTAATTAAAAAAAATCTAATTTGGTTTAGCAATTCTTTTCTATAAAAGGTCGAGTTCAAGTTTATCATGTCTGGATCTATAAGCTGAAGTATAATCAGACCCAAGGATGCGAATTGTAATTTCTATCTTTTGTGCGAAGAATATTAAGAACAAACGTTCAGTATGCAAGAATTGGTCAAACATATAGTTTGCACAGTAAAATACTGAACTCATTGTTGTAGAGAATATGAATTATACAATATAGCAGACGTTACATCTTGTATACCTGTTCTGAAAAAGACAAATTATCGGAATACATGAGTCCAAATGCCATTGCTGTAAAAACTTGGATAACGCCTTGGTTAGGTCTAGGTTAAGTAAAGGATAACTAAAGCAAATTCATCCACATTTTACGGCGTTTAGCTCCAATTTCCATGTTGAACACCAAAGGGCCACATGATTGAGTCTCACACTGTCATGGCTTTGAATATTGCTCAGCTCATAAGGGCATTATGAATACACTAATTAAAAACAATCAGTATATAGAAGAGACTAACTTGAACAGAAACTATTGCAGTTATCGTTTATGTAAGTCAAAAACAACAAGGTAACTAATACACTACCTTGTATTACCCCAATTTCGACTGGGACAACATCAGATAAAGAATGGTTTATTTTGACTGTTAGGTGTCAGTGAAGGAGAAAAGGAACAAGCCAAGAAAGTATAGAGTTTCTGATCCCGTAAGACGTAAGTTTCTCCATAAGCATCTGGTGGTTAGCCATATCGAGCAGTTTAGAAACGTCATAGTATACCACTAAGACTAAGTTACCTTGGTTACGTTAAGTAAATACTGAATTTAGAGCTTTTTTCCAATCTTATATAAAATATATTTGAAAAGCCCAAGTAATTTATCGATTCAATTTGGATAAACTTTGAATCTTATCGCATAAGTTCAATTTATTTTCGTAAGTTATGTTCGCTGAAGACAAAATATCGGTAGTTCTGAAATTTGTTTACCTCACTGTTGTAATATACAGTTTATTGAAATTACAAACGGAATAAAGTTAGACAACAATCGGAAAGTTGAAATCATTGGATGATTGTTTTGTCCTGATAAAGGTCCACTTAGTAGTGTGTATCGATGACCTCAAAAACCCAGGACCTCCAGTATCACAGGTGAATAACAAACCTTCAGAGCATGGAGCCAGAGTCTAATGCTGTAAAACCCTAACTTCAGTCACTCCGTGATATAAGGCGGCAGGCCGTATTCCATTATCTTCAGTTGGTACATTTCTTACACCATACCCTGTTTGACTTCACTAGTCTCAGTTCTTCATATACTGAAAAGGAAGGACCATCCAGTGCTTCCCAGCTTTTAATGTTTTTCTAATTTAAATCGGTTCGTCATTTCAATAAAACTCACAATCTCTACAATCCCACATCGTTGTTTATTTTAGCTCATCTTTCAACCTGTGAATCTAAACATGACCGAGATTAGTAATATAACACGTAAACAATTCCTTAATTTAATCTTCCCCCGATTTCTCAAAATGCTCCATAAGTTTCTAATCGGTTAAATTATATTTAAGAACCGGCTGTTCAGATATAAATGAACTTAATTTTCTGGCTAATGAGTTCAAAATCAATCAGAATGTAGCTCAACCATTGGATTTCCCTGAATCCTGTGCATAGGTTATTGATTTTCTGTCTCTACCCTTAAAACACAACTTAATTTATTCTTTTCGGCTTAAACCTTGATAAATCTTTTCATCTTCCTTTCGCACTTCAGTAAGTAATATTTTACTTAAAGTAAATTTTTGTTCGTTATTCAAAAATATGATCAATAAATTTCAATGAATCTTCCTTCCATTTTATTTTTCTACATATTTCCTCTCATGTTATAATATAGAATATCAAACAAAAATGCATATCTCATTTTATTTATAGTATAAAAATTCAAAATTGTCTTAATTAAATTTTTACTTCGAATGAGGAGTATTTGATCTGCCTTTTTATCTAAATCAAAATGAACGACAACCTAAATTTTAAAAAAAAAGCTTAAAATGCAAAATAACCTCTACAAATCCCTTTTTTACGATCAATGAAATAGAATACTGCATTCTCTAACCCATTTATGAGACACGATGAGATATAAAAAGACTATTAGAAATCTATTCCAGGCAGATTGGCAATATGGATTCACACAACTTATTAGTTACAAAATTTCTACAATCCAATCACACGTGTATAATAGCTTTAATAAAGAGGTATTTAAATAGTTTAGATCTGATTTGATAAATGTGGATTTTCTCATACCGTATTTACCGTTCAATAAATAAACTAAGGGTTCTCAAAAAACCATCCTTATCTTTTCCATTGAAAGTGTGAGCCCCATGTGTAGACATTTGATGACTCTTTTTTCAATGTTAAATGACTATTTAATAACCAGATATAAACAGTCTATGGGAGAAGATGCTTTTAAAATTAATGATTATCATTTAAAACGTAAGTTTCACTTTTCGATTTCCCTGTGTTAGAAAATGCCTAACATGCCATTTTGTCTGATAAAGGTTGAAACAACGAAATGGTTAAATATAGATCTTGTTTCCCTTTACACAAATATTTTTTGATAATTATAGGCATCAAACAAAACCATTTATGCTGGAAATATCTAAATACTATCATTAGCCCACTAGTGGAATACCGAACTTAAGTAGTATGGTATGCAAGGCAGAATACAAGTTATTTCCATAATCCTAAATGATGTTCTCTCTTATAGTACAAGGTGTTTGGAATGAAATTCTTTTGCACATAATATCAACCAAAAGATCGTTTACTTACCAATGTACAACAGTGTGTAATTTTATTTTTTGTGAAAAAGCATGAATAATCGTTACATAATATAAGTTTTATCTAAATATTATGTTTTTTCAGATTGAAATTCATAGTTTCTACTTTTTTTAGTAAGAAAAAAAATCAATTTTTGAACCGTAACCTTCACAATAAAATCCTAGTTTAGATCACATGACCAACTGTTTTGCAATATATCATGCGTTCAATAAAAAAGAAGTTTCCATTCAATTACAATTTGTTTTTTTTCTTTTTCATTCCCAGATATTTATGTTACAAAAAGCGTCATATTTCATGTTGATTTCATCTTCTATACACAAAATAAATATTGTTTGTTTTGCATTTGTCCAGATAAAGTAATCGGTTCTCCTACATTTTATTTACTGTATTATGAAAAAATGTATGACAATTCGTTAGAAAACTGTAGTCTTGTTTTCAAATTTAATTATTTATGTAAAGCACAAATGATTGTCAAAATTTTGATTATTTCTTTGAAAATGATTACCAGATTAAACTTTAAAGTTGTGTAGCTTCCAAAAATGACATTTTTACTAAAGAACAGTTCAATTGATATTCACTTGGTTTATTCACAGTGATTGGTTACCGACGTAGCATTCTTCTAATCTCGATTGTTCATTGAATTCTTTTGATCAGTCGTAATATAGCTAACAATTTCAACGGTTTGACATAATATAAACTTGATCAATAGTCAAGCAACCACGAGAAAACTGTTGACCTAGCTCTCATACTAGCTAACATTGCATTGTGTAGTTTTAAACTCCATTGGTTAAACCAGTTTCCTCAAATTCTCAGAAACATCTTACAAGTTTAGTAGAATAAGACCAACATTAAGGATAATACAACTACTACATTAGTGTTACTACTCAGTAATCAGTTAATGTATATATCTTACTTCTACCTAAGTTCATTATCAGCAAATATTTCTCACTGTCAGCATCGTTGATTTAGATACTTTCTTAGATGGTTTAGAATCATTTGTGTTTTAATTCACTTACTTAGTTGAACACAAATCTTGACGCAGATGGGAAATAAAAATATGCACCACACAAATATGAAACAGAGATCATACATTGATAGACAAAGAAGGATGAGTACAATCAGAAACAAATAAATGAATAAAAACAAGTGAACCGGAGTAGTTTATAATGGAAGAAGCTGTGAAATTAAGAAACAAATACGATTGTTCATAACCATTACACGTCAACAGTTAGTTTATACTCATTATGTGATACTGATTTGTTTCTGAATTTGTTGTCAATTTGTTTTTGGCGCTGTTAACATGCAGATGCACTATCAGTAATGAATACGAGCAAAATAACA